TTTAGCCATTGAGAATTTCATACAATGTGTTTGATCATCCTTCCCCTCCCCTGGATCCTCTTCCATCTCCCTACCCACCCACAGACCAATGTAGTCTGGCTTGTGTTGGCTGACTTCTGCTGAGTGTGGGGCCTGCCCTTGGAGTGTGGTTGATACACCAGGTACCACGTCGTCAAAGAAGCTGGCTTTCCCTCTCCCAGCGCTCCTCAAATGTCAGTAACTCCTTGGCTGGGGGTGGGGCTCCATGTCCACTTTTTCCTCCATGCTGTCAGGTTTGAACTTGTGCATGCTCTTAGGGTCCCTTTGAATTCCTATGTGTATCAGCTCTTTATGTCTGGAAAGTGCTATTTCCTTGAAGTCATCCATCTCTGGCTCTTAAAATCCCCCCCACCCTCTTCCTCATAGATTCTTAAGCCTTGAGGGAGGAATGTGATACAGACATCCCATTTAGGGCTATGAATTTTGTCTTCTGCAAGCACATTACCAGTGGAGCTGTCACCCCAGCCCCAAGAAGCAGTCTGCCAACAAATCCTGTAGTGGCTCTTCCTCTCCAAGACAGTGCTGAGGACTGAGGACTGCTACAGGGGTCGTCCCCCTCCCTCCCTCCCTCCCTCCCTCCCTCCCTCCCTCCCTCCGTCCTTCCTTCTGTCCTTCTTTCCATCCTTCCTTCCTACCTTCCTTCTCTCCCTCCCTCCCTCTATCCCTCCCTTCCTTCCTTCATTCCTTCATTCCTTCTTTCCCCCCTCCCTCCCTCCCTCTCTCCCTCCCTCCCTTCTCCCTTTCATTGGAAAATAGTTTCTTTTTTCTCACACAATATATTCTGACTATGTTTTCTCTTCCCTCTTCTCCCGGTTCCTCCCCACCTCCCTTCCCGTCTGGATCCGGTCCCTTTCTGTTTCTCCTTGGAAAACAAATAGACTTCTAAGGGACAATAATTAAAACACAATATAGGTATATGCCCAAGAGTGGTATAGCTGGATCTTGAGGTGGATCAATTCCCATCTCCCCGAGGAACTGCCACACTGATTTCCACAGTAGCTGTACACACTTGCGGTTCCCTCAGTGACACACCTCCTCCAAGGCCATACTTCCTGACCCTTTCCAAACTCTTCCACCTACTGGAGAACAAGTATTCAAATGTAGGCGCCTGTAAGGGCCACTCTCATTCAAACTACCATTCTGTTCACAGAGAGGTATGAAGCAGACTGTCTCTGTGGCCTGTAATCTTCAGTTTTGACATGCGCTACCAGGTTCATGAAGGCTGGCTTCTAGCCAGAGCCCCATTGTGGGGCAGCTCGACTTTATGCAGGTGTGGTTATTCATGAAACAGAGCATTTGGCCCTTTGGTATGGTCTGTTTCTGTAGGGAAACCCTGCAGCGCAGTGACTGGTCTGGCTGTGGTCAGTCTCTGGGCCCCGCCTCTGTGTCCTGTGGGATCTTAGGTAGGTATACCACTTCTCTGGCCTCAGTGTTTACATCTGTAGGTTAAATGGCTTTAGTTTAATGCTCTGCAGGTCCACACTTCTGGGTTAATTGATCTGGAGAGAGACTGAGGTAGGCATGGCTCTTTAGTGCTGCTGTACAGCCTGGGGCCTGGGACTGGTACAGCATCATCACCAGGGAAGCACTCTTGTTGCTGAGCCGCCTTCCCACCTGCAGCTGGTGGAGGGCCCAAGAAGGTATTTTTAATTTTTTAATTATATTTTTAGTTATTGACTTTCTGTGTGTTTGAGTGCATGTCAGAAAATTTATATAGAGATGAGAGGATAGCTTACAGGAAGGAGTTGGCTTTTAATAGGTTTTCTGTATCATGGTAATAGGTTTCTCCAGTGATGCAGTGAGCCAGATCAGGCCGAGCTGAAAAAGTAGGAGAACAGATTTGAACAAAGCAACTCCCGGGTGAATTCTCCAGCCCCAGAAATCCAGGCAGGAGAAGTCATGCACAGAACTAGAGCAGGGAGCTTATATACCCTGTAGGCAAGGGGTGATGACATGTCCTCCACAAGCTGGGTTTGTGCGCAAGTGTGGTCAAAAGCTGACCACTTAAGGCGGGGTCTTGGGCTATTGGCAACTCAGGAGGAGCTGCCGGAGCCGCCAAGAATTCGGAACTAGGCTTTTTTGCTTGGAGATTCTCTAAGAGGGTGGGGTTGGGAGAAAGAGGAATGGGACTTTCTGGATCAGGCAAGAGTGAGCAGAAGGTTCCAGCCGAACAGTTTTCCCCTTCCACACGTGGGTCGCAGGGGTTGACTTAGGCCGCTAGGCTTGGTGGCAAGTGCCTTTGCCCAAGGAGCCATCTCACCAGCCCAGGAAGCTGTGCTTTTTTAAAACAAGTCCTAGTGTTGTTTGTTTGTGTTTGTTTTTCTCTCAGACCAATTTGGGGACTGATGCAGGGATGGTGACTTTTCCAAGTCACTTAACTGATCACTTGCTGACTGTACTTGACTCCTGGAAAGAGAGCTTGAAAAACATCCTGTCCTGAGTCTCATTTGAGTACGGTGGCTCAGGCCTGCAATTCTAGCACTTGGGAGATGAAAGCAGGAGGCTAGGAGTTTAAGGCCAGCCTGGACTACAATGTCTCCCATGAGGCTAACATGGGCTATATGAGACTTGGTCTCGAAAATGAAACATCTTTTTCTGGGGACAGCTGCTATTGTTGGGAGCATTTGTATGTCTGTAGTCAAGGTGGCCAGCAGGTAGGCTTCCAGAGCCCTAGGAGATGGCCCTCCCCCACCTATCAGTTCCTCATGGATTGTGAGAGCTCAGCCCACACTGCCTGCCCACCCAGTCCCTCTCCTCACTGATTCCTTCACACTCTGCCTCAAACGGAGTCTTGTTGGATATGGTTTGCATGAGGCCGAGCAGGTTCTGGCTACCCTGAGGTGGGGACCAGCAGCCTCCTTCCACTGTCCCCTAGCAGGGGATGGCCTCCTCCTGTTGTGTCTCATTTCTCCCCCTATCCTTTCATCTTCCAGAAGATCTTATGCTTCTGATGACATACATCATAATTCTTTATATAAACTCTTGAGGATTTTGAGCTATTAGCAGTTCATTCTGGAAACTTCTATGCACAGTGCTTTGTAATGTTTAAGAGGCCAAGGGGGCTACTTTCCCTTCCCTTCTGTTACACACACACACATGTATACACACAGAAATATACACACACACACATTCACACATATGCACACTCCACACACACCATTGAAACAGGGTGTCGCTGGGTTTTGAAATGACAGGTCAGACTTTACCAACAATGATTTAGTGCTTCTATTCTTGTCCCTCTATTTCATATCACACACTGCCGTGTTTACCTTCTACAAACTAGATAGAAATACGCCACATGGAACCGCCTGCTTTCTTTGGGTATCAGAGTCTCCTGGACACACTTGATAAAATACAGATTCGTAGACCTCATCCTAGAGTTGTAGGGTAGAAATCACTTTGAGAGGGCTCCAGGAATCAAGATCACTAGGTGATTTTCATGCATGTTGGAGGTTGGGAGCTCCTGCTTTTGAGGCTAGACAGAACTGAGACATGACAAGATCAGAGAATAAAGAGCAGAGCCCTGGATGGCTCCACCCTGTCCAGAATGACATCTAGGTCCCTCCCGAGCTCCACATCAGTCACCTCTGTGCCCAGTTGGCCGGTCCCTGAAAAACTCAATCTATAAAACTGTGACATTTACCCTATCAGTGACTGTGAGGACCGAATGAGTGATGTGTGAAATACGTTTGAAGAGGGCCTGGCCAAGGGCCCTGGACATGTTAGCTGTGGACACTGTTCCATGCCAGGTGAAGGACATGCGCCAGCGTTGACTTTACGAGAGAGGAAGCTGAAGGCTTGCCAGATGGTTTACCAGAAGTGAACCTGGGAGAGAAAAGAAGCATTGGCCTTCTCACAGTGCTTCTAACCTGCAGTGCAGACTGCAGGTCTGCGTTAGCTTAGTCTTCAGTTTTTCTCATGTGTGCATGTGTGTGCACATGGCCAGGTATGCATGCAGGTTTGTGCATGGGTATGTGGAGGCCAGAGGTCGATTATCTTTTTGATTATTTTTTATTTTTGATAATTTAATTGCAACATCTCTCCCTTCCCTTTCCTCCCTCCAAACCCTCCCATACCCTCCTCCCCACTCTCCTCCAAATTAATGACTTCTTTTTTTCACGAATTGTTATTACATGCATATATTATTTGTATATACATATGTATTCCTCAATATAACCTGTTGAGTCCATATGTTGCTACTTGTATGTATGTGTTCAGGGCTGACCATTTGGCGTGCTCCCTGGGGAAGCCCACCTCTCCCACTCCCAGCTCTCCTCAGTTGCCCATAGTCCTTTGTGTAGGGTTGAGGCCTCATGGGCTTTTCCCCATGAAGTTTGACATGGGCATTGGTGACATCCTTGTTCAGCTCACATTTGGGTTATCATGTTGGTGAGACTTCACAGGTATAGCTTCTGATATTACTAGGAGACACAATCTCTCAGCAAAGTCTCTGACCCTTTGCAGCCTTTCTGCCTCCTCCTCCTCCGCTGCAATGTTCCCTGAGCCTTATCCATCTTATTTCTTTAGACGAAGCCTTGCACTGACTGGCCAGACTGGTCAGTGAACACCAGGGAGCCTCGATTCTCTGCCTCCCTGGTGCCGGGGTTATGCGTGTGTGCCACTGTTGGTAGATTTTTCTTTTTAAACATGGATTCTGAGGAGTTCCAAATTCAGATCTTCATGCTTACTCCTTACCACTGAACCATCTCCGCAGCCATTAAATTCATTTACTATTTGTATTTGATTATGTATTTATTCATGCAGGACTAGGGTACTACAGACTAAAGTAGTAATTGTCCCATTGAGCTACACTCCTTGCCCTAAAAAATTTAATAAAGATGACCAGCAAATTTTCAGAAGCCCCGGTTTCATTGGTGGAGACCTGCTATTCAGAGTTGGAAGACATCCTAAGATTACAAAAGCATGGACACTAACTGCATATTTTCTATCTGCTTTATCAGGCGTGTCCGGAAAGTGGTAGAAGTATCCGGGAGGTACAGTGTGCATCCTACAACAACAAGCCATTCATGGGCCGGTTTTATGAATGGGAGCCGTTTGCAGAAGGTAAGGCAGCTGGGTCTGTTCCCTTGACTCAGCTGTGTCAGTAGGAATTATTATTATTATTATTGTTATTATTATTATTATTATCATGATCATCATCATCATTATTGTTGTTATATGTCGTCATCATCACCTTGTCTGTTCTCCCAACCCTGTGGTTTTCTGGTTGGTCCTGGATGTGTTGAGGCGATCCTAGATGGAGAAAATGTGACCCTTAGAGCAGAGTGGACCACGGAGGTCTTTACCAGTTGTTTCATAGCCCAGAACACACTTGGATTATCCTTGACTGTGAGATGTGGCTGAAAACAGGTAGCATCTGAGAACGGCATGAGAAGTGGGTCAGAGCAGGCCTTGGGGAAGGAGTTGGTAGATAAGGCAAGAGCAAGCTGAGAGCCAAGATTTGTTTTTTTAAGATTTATTTTATGTGCATCGGTGTCTCACCTACATGTATGTATGTCTGTGTGTCTGTGGGAGGATATCAGATCCCCTGGAACTGGAGTTACAGCCAGTTGTGAGCTGCCGTGTGGGTGCTGGGAACTGAACCCAGGTCCTCTGGAAGAGCAGCCAGTGCTCTTAACTACCGAGCCATCTCTTTAGCCCTGTTTTTTGTTTTTCAACTTTGGTGCCTGTTAGACAGGCTGGTGTATACACTTAAGAAAGCATGCAGATTGATAACTGTTGACCCATCAGGAGACCTCTCATGTCTCTTCCAAACATAGAAGGACACCAAGGCCCCTTGCCATGTCACAGTGCTGGTCAGAAGTTGGCAGAGCTTCTCCATACTGTTCTGCATACTGGAGTCCTTTTTCTTTGTCAAAATTCACATAATAGCAGGGAGTGTGAACTAAGCTGTGTTTGGTTCTGAGATGTTTCCTATGAGGTAGTCTTGGCAGTGGTCCAGGGAAGCTTATGGGGATTCTACACTGGCAGCCCCGTTGGCTGGAGGAGGAGTCCTGCCACCTTGCAGATCTTTGCCTGGATGTCAGTTCTTGGTCTCAGCCCAAGGCAGGGGCTGGAGCTGCTAGGGTACTCCAAAACCAGAGTCCAAAGCATTGCTACCATGTCCAGGATCTTGAAAAATGTCGGGGAAGGCTTAGCAGTGAGATGTGCTGATGTTTGTGGGAATCTACTCCCTCAGGGGCCAACCCAGTATGACCTAAGGAGATATTAAGGTGCCTCTCCTGTCTCTTGATAAGAGGCAAAAGAGATGGAAAGCCAACTGCTCTGAGACCAAGTACAAAGTCCTTAGTGTCTACGTGCATCCAGAGAACAGTCTGTGAGTTGTTAGGTTCTCAGATGGCCCTGTGACCTCCAGGTCATTAAGAACAAACTTGAACTTAATTGAGATATATGAGATCCAGTCAAGAAAGGTATGTGGATGAGACATAGAACCAGCAGAACACAAGTATGAGAGAGGATATGGGGTCCTGGGTCAGCAAAGGAGGGAGGGTAAAGGTCCTGGGGCAGCAAAAAAAGGGAGGGTCCAAGGTCCTGGGGCAGCAAAGGAGGGAGGGTCCAAGGTCCTGGGGCAGCAAAGAAAGGAAGGTTTAAGTTTGGTGGGAACAAGGGAAGGAGGACTCAGGGTCCTGGGGGAGCAGAGGATGGAAGAGTCCAAGGTCCTCGGGAGTAAGGGAGGGAGACTTAAAGGAAGTTTGATCCTCTGGATGGAAGTCGGTTCAGATCTTTTCCTTTCTTAAAATGCTATGGTGAATCAATATGGAATTCTAATTTGGATCCCGAATAAGGAGGGCATTGGTGGAACCGTGGTGAAATAGCAGCGTGTGCATAGTTCATGGTAGCACTATGCCAGTGCCTTAGTTTTATATAAACCTTCCATGGTTTTATAAGGTAGGAACAAGTTGGATGGAGAGAGGAGACGACTTCTTTGTGCTATTTTTGCAACTGTTCTGTCAATCTGAAATGGTTTCAGATTATAAACTTTTCATAAAAGATGGGGTGCTTTCGTTTGGCTTGGTCTTATGACCACTCTGATTTTTCTCTGAAGCCTTTACATGGGTAAGGAAGAGTACACGGGATTAAACTGTAAACCCCCCCACCCCCCCCAACCCCCACCCCCCACTTTGTATCCATCCTAGAATCTCAGCATGCAGCTTTAATTTGCAAATAGGGATGGGCTGTTGTAGATATAATTACCTAGGCCAAGGGAGTGGGAAAGATGACTCAGCAGTTAAGAACACTTGATGCTTTCCCAGAGGACTGGAGTTTGGTTCTCAACACCCAAGCTGGGCAGCTCACAACCACCTGTACCTCCTGCTTCGGGGGTTCTAATGTCTTATTCTGGACTCTGAGGGTCCATTTACACGTACACATTCCCACACACAGATGCAGGTATCTGCACATATTTAAAACTATAATAAACCTTTAAAAATTAATTGCCTAGATTAGGTCTATACTGGAGCTGGTGGGCTTCTGATCACTAATGGATGGTGTTCTCATCAGAAGAGAAAGTTCACGGGCAGGTAGGAGGACACCAAGTTAGGATGAAGGCAGAGACAGATGTGCCTGCAAGCCAAATGACAACACCATGGTTGCTGGACACTATGGGATCCAGGAGAGGCACGGGCAGAATTGTTCCCTGGAGCCTTCGGAGTGAGCATGACCTGCCAGCATTTACGTTTCCAGCTTCCAGATCTGTGAGAAAAGTCTTCTGTTGTTTTAAGCCAGCGTGACCATGTTGTCTTGTCATGGTGATGGCTGATAAACAGAGCAAGGAGTCAGGTTGTGGATCTATTGAGATCCACTCGTGTGTAGCTCAGGAAGTGGGATTATACTGATGAATATTTAGAGGTCCCCTGGGGAAGTGAGACATGCAACCAAAGAGAACCATCTGATGGACCCAGGCTCACACAAGGCAATGTTCTCAGCCTGAGCTGCCGAGGAGCCTTCTAGAAATGTTAGTGCTTTGGTCCCACTCCCAGAGACTGTGATTTAATTGGTCTGGGATGCAACCTGGGTATCTAGATTTATTATTATTATTATTATTATTATTATTATTATTATTATTAATTATAAGATCCCCAGTGATTCCAACAGGATTGAGAATGTTTGGGTTTCTTTGAGCAGCATCCTTCCATTGTTACTAGGCTGTGTATACCAGCTATTTCATGCTATTCTCTGGGAAGAAAGATGCATTTCTCCCTGAAGAGCAGGGCAGCCCATTCAGTGCCGAGTGCATGCCATGGTTCCCCTGGAGCTGAAGCTGTGGACCGGATCTTCTCTGCAGGGACAAGGTGGTTAGTAGCTTAACGACTTGTCCTAACAATACAGCCATCTGGACCTGGGTCTGACAAGAATAGCTCTGTTCAGACCACAAAGAAGTCACCCTGCCAGTGTGTCCATATGTTGCGATTATTCCTGGTGGAGGCTTCTTCTCATCTGGCTTAAGTATGATTCTGCCTTCCTGCTCTCTTCCTCCTCTGTCCTGGGCATCAACCAAGAACTGGGAGAGACTAGTGTAATACTCAGAGTCCATATGCTCACCAGCCTGGCTTCAAACTCACTATATAGTTGTGGGTGACCTTAAACTTTCAAGTACTAGGATTACAGGCATGTGCCACTATGCCCGATTTAATGACTGATCTCTTTTTATAAATACCCCATATAGATTATGGGAGACTACTTACTACTCAGCATGCTCATTGCTGAATGTACCAGTTAGCTCATTATTGTGAAAAAAACCCAAACTAAATACATTTAACCAAAATTTTTTTAAAGCATTTTATTGGTCATATTACTGAGAAATTAAAAAGATGGTCAGAGTTGAGATTGGCTGCATTCCAGGAAAGCCAGACCCTTGCGCTTTTCAGTCTTTCTTCAACCCTTGGTTCTGCTCACCTCTTTCCCAGGCAGGCGAGCAGACTTCCATGGCTTTGTACTTAGAGCTCTCCCAGGTGAGACAGTCCCTCTTAGCTGGTGCTTTGGGTCAACATGGGTGCCTCCCACCCCTACTCCTGCAAAGGAGTGTTAAAACTCTAGTTTCTAATACCCGTGGATATGACCATGTTGGCGAGTTTTATGTCAACTTGACGCAAGCTACAGCCATTTTTAAAGAGGGAACCTCGATTAACACAGATGGGTCTGTGGCAAACCTGTAGTGCAGTTTCTTGATGGATGATTGATGTGGGAAGGCCTACTCCCTGAGGGCAGTACCACCCCTGGTTAGGTGGCCTTGGTGTATATAAGAAAGCAGGCTGAGCAAGCCACTAAGCAGCAGTCCTCTGTGGCCTCTGCATCAGTGTCTGCCTCCAAGTTCCTGCCTTGAGTTCCTATCCTGACTTCCCCAGATGACAGACCATAAACAAAACCTTTTCTCCCCACTTGCTTTTGGTCAGGGTGGCTTATTTTGTTGGTTGGTTTTTTGTTTTGTTTTTGTTTTTTTAAGACAGGATTTCTCTGTGTAGCCCTGGATGTCCTGAAATTCACTTTGTAGACCAGGCTGCCTCAAACTCAGAGATTCAGCTGCCTCCGTGTCCCTGGTGCTGGGATCAAAGGCATGGTGCCAACACACTTAGCTGAATCACAGAGTTTTGTCACAGCGATAGGAACCCCAAATAAGACTGTGACCTTGTCAATAATCTTCCTAGTTGTAATCAGGATGTTGGTTAAGGTGAGTTCATACTGAAGGCGGGTAGGTCCTTGTGTGCTGTGACTCCTGTCCTCGGGTACAGCCGAGTACACCAAGAACCCAGTGCGAAGATATAGACAGCCATGACAGGGGCAGACAGGAAGTGAAGTAGTGTGGCTGTAAGCAAGGAGCACCAGGGATTGCCAGTAACTGCCGGAAATCAGGAGGAGACATGGACAGATTTTTTGCATGCCCTCCTTTCCAGCACTTCAGAGAGAACATACTCACACCTTGTCTTTCCTTCCTGGCTACCAGATCTGTGAGTCAGTTCCTGTTGCTAATAGTTTATGTGGTGCGTTACATCAGTGCTGGGAAACTCACAGTCTCGATACTTTCCAATGTTAGGAAAACTGCAGAG